AACTCCTACCAGGTCAATCTTATGCATAATAATAGAGCTGTTTCTTGCCTCCTGTTTTAGTTGCCTTATGTACAAAATGGAAAGCATGAATTTGTTAGCCTGTATGGATCTTAAACGGGAGTACGCTACATTTTCAAGATTCACCATATTTTATTCTGGAAGATTCCCCTAAGAATTTGCTTATACTCTTTTCTAAAACCATTTTTTTATGAAATCAATAGATCGTCAATCTGTCATTATGAAATCCTTGTCTTTTCTTTTACATGTAGCACATAATACGTCGTCTTGAATGGATCATATTTGAGATTCAATATGGATTGTTGTTAAAATTTCTGGGTTAGCCCTCAAGATTTCTTTCTCTCCTTCCTTGATCAAACAGTGCCGCACTGTGATTTCATATGTTCATTTTAGTTATATTCATATAATGTTGCTGCTTTGAATTTTTTAGGTGAATGCCAGACACAGATTCCTTTTCATTATGACATCTGATGACACACATGCACGTACCTTAGAACTCTTGGAATCAAATTCTTATTTTGGCATGCAATCCACACAAGTGAAACTTTTGAAGCAGGTATGACTTTTGATGCCCTAGGGGAAGTTCAATTTAGCTTTAAAATGCTTTCGTCAGCCTGTTAAATTTTGTACATATCAGGAAAAAGTCGCATGTTTGGATGATAATGATGCCAGGCTAGCAGTGGATCCACATAACAAATACAAAATTCAGGTATTGTGTAGCGAGTGACGGAGTTTATAATTGTATGGCTGACAATTTTACTTAGCAAAATTGAATCCAGAGAATTTCATTTCAATTTATGAAGTGCAATAACAATATCTCTTTTTACAGACAAAACCTCATGGACATGGTGATGTGCATGCACTTCTTTATTCCAGTGGTCTTCTGAAAGTATGGTACGGCTCACAGATTAGAAAGATTTTTCTGTTCATGATATTAATATAAACTTAAACAGATATGTCTTTGTCTTCTTTTATATTTTCCTGCTTCTAGTGTTATATTGATCATGTTCATATCAAAACTTTTAATTTACTTGTTAAAAATTAAAGGATATCGTATCTGAATGTCTTGGTAATTTTCAGAATCTTGTAAATATTAGGGCACATTATCGCCAAAATATATATACATATATAGATAGATATAAGGGCTGTAAGATTAGAAATCTTGGTTGACATAGTCTCTAGATTGATGGGTTTACATTCACAAATTACTAGAAATGGAAGGGAAAATGTGGGCACCTAGAATGGGTGTTAAAAAAAATGTTGATTTCCAGCGTCCCTAAAATTAATTGAATGGTGTTCCAGAGTTTTAGAAAACAATATCTAGACGATATTTCTTTCCTTTGATAAACGGTTTGATCATAGGTTCAATGCTATCTGCATTTGGCAGGCTTGTTGCTGGTTTGAAATGGGTGCTCTTTTTTCAAGATACAAATGGACTTCTATTCAGGGTCAGTTGTTTTCACATGTCATATCTCCTGTTACTATCTCTTGGACTGCTCATTCATGTAATGCAAATATTCATTGCCTAGTAATTTCGAGTGTACAGGCAGTTCCTGCAGCACTTGGTGTCAGTGCCACCAAACAGTACCATGTTAACTCTGTTGCTGTGCCTCGGAAAGCAAAAGAAGCTATAGGAGGGATTACCAGACTCACTCACTCTGATAGTAATTCCATCTGTTTCCCTAATAGACACAGAAAAGCATCTGTGATATGCAATCTCAATTGCTACCGTGTTTTAGTGGAGTTTGTTGACATCACTGTTTTGGTTCTGAAGTGGATAAGCAATAAATTGTACTCCTCCAATCCTTCATGTAATACTACTTCCAGTCTTAATTATAAGACTTCGTTTGTAGATTACAAACGAGTTTTTATAATTAGGACCGGAGGTGGTATCTATTTAACTAATATGATTAAATTAAGGAAGTTAGGTAAGTTAATTAATTATAAAAAATATGATATATTTTTCCTAAAACACCATAATCATCTTCCTTAGTATCCTTCCTCCCTCTCCTACTTGATTATGGTTGAGGAAGTATCAATAGGGATAATTTAGGAAAAATTGATAAATATGAGAAATAAGTCTTACATTTAGGACTAGTAGCAACTCAACAATTAGGTCCTATGTTAAGGATCGGAGCAGTATTTTTTATGCTTGATCTTTTAAGGATAGGTCCTGACCTAATATTATTCATATTGTTGGGCTCTGATAGGTAAATGTAATATAGATTTCCTGCTCATGCTACTGACCATCTAGCACTGGTTAAAATCTTAGTCACAGGACTACAAGTTGTGTTAAAATGGATGAAGTTCTATAGAAAAAAAATGTGAAGAAAGTATGAATGTTAGTTTACCTAATGAAAATCAAAGTATTAGTTCAAATTGTTTAAATGAATGTTAGTTTACCTAAAGAAAATCAAACTATTAGTTCAAAACGTTTAGCGTTGCTGACTAGCAACAGCTCATAAGACAACAGAACCAAAAATCAGTGTCCATCGGACCATCAATCCTTGCCAACCTGGGACAGAAAATGCTATGATATTTCTTGCTGCTTGATGGACTGCTGCTGCTGCTTCTCTCTGAGGTGAAGTACAAAGACTGAGTGGGATTATAGTTAGAGGTTCATTAATGTTCTGTCTGTAGTGACAAGAAGAAAATCTATTGTGCTGTCATGGATTGAGGACTGAAAATGCTACCTCATTCTGACTGGGGCCAATTATCTCCTTTGTTAAAAAGGGATTTAGTGAGTTTATAAGTTTGAAATCTTGTGGCAATGTTTGCCTCTGCTGAAACTAGCAAGTTTTTTGTTTGACCCCATTGATACCTTGGACTAAGAGGTTTAGAGATTTAACTCTAAAGCCCTATACGCATGCTATTTAACATGCTTGATTTTTCTCTTGACTTCATTATTTCAGTTCAATGAGTTTTGCAAATATGCTTGCGATTCAAATGGCATATTAATACCCTATTTCTATCATTTGAATATCTACCTGAAAGACAAATCATCCCAGGGAGGGCAATGGTGATAAATGTGGAATACAATCAACTAGATCCTCTCCTCAAGGCAACTGGACACCCTGAAGGTGATGCCAATTGTGAGACTGGCTACTCACCTTATCCAGGAAATATAAACCAAGTAATTGTGAATCTCAATATTCTGTTTATGCCCCTTCTTGGAATGAGCTTTTATTCAATTATTTATTATTGCTTTCAAATAGTGTTTCTTTATCTGTATTATTTACTTAACTTTTTGCATGAGCACTCTATTTATAATTTAAGAAGTAATCAATTCAGTTTTTCTTCCCTTCATGTGAACTCCATGGCATCTTTCCAATAATCATTCTTTGTGTCAGTGATGACCAATTGCAGGTTAATACTATTACACCATATAGTTGCTATGTATCCCAATAGTGATGTATTATTTGCACTTTTGTGCGTAGAAATTCTTTAGTGTGATATGTCTCCTGAGACTCTGCCTAGTGTTAGCTGTATCTCCAAATTATCAAACAAAGAGAGTGTCCTCACCTGCCACTCCCTTTATGGTTCTCGACCTCTTTATGTACTTAAAATCAAAGGCTGAAAATGATTTTGTTATAATGATTATTTTTATTTCGTAATAGCCATCTTCTGATTTAGTTGACCTGCTTCATCTTCACATCATATTTTTTAGTGACAAATATCTTATCTTTTATTTAACAGTTGATATTAGAACTTGGTCCTTACATTGAAGAGCTCACAAAAACAGGAGGTGCTATCCAGGAGTTTGTTAACCCGAAGTAATTTTAATTAATTGTGCTCATTATATTTGATTTCCCCCCATGCATCGCTATAGCATGCTTTAATTTTATTTAGTTGCTTTCACGATCATTTTGTTGATGCACTAGAAGCTTAAATATCCTTTAGTCTTTTCTCCGGATAGAAAAAGTTTGGTGGAAACTTGTTATAGAATTACCATTTTTGTTGGAATTCTTTTGTCGATAACAGAAGCTTGACAGCAGTATTTACTTGCTGCAGGTACAAAGATGCCAGTAAAACTTCATTTAAGTCCTCTACTCGACTTGAATGTATGATGCAAGACTATCCCAAAACATTGCCCGCATCTGCAAGGGTTGGATTCACGGTAAATTAGTATTTCAAGCAAAGAAATATGGATTTCTAGATAATGAAACATGACTGGGCCTTAGGGGCATTGGTCATTGCACTTGTTATTGAAGGTTGAAATTTTGCTGGGTCCTCTATTTGAATTCAACCAGAAACTGTCATGTGATTTTCTGCAGGAAAAATATTTTGACCAAATACTTCACTTATAATGTGCTATGTGACTGAATAATAAGCCAACAAACAGCCATCAAAGTTGATGCTACTAGCGGCTGCACCCATTGACATTACTTTGGTGAATTTTGGCCCACAATACATTCATGTTTTTAATTTATATGTATTTAAGCACTTTTCCATAAACTGATCCCATTTTCTGTTTTTCCTCTCTAGCTTTCCAATTTTTATCCTCCCAACTTCACCGTAGTTTGTGAAAATTAATAAATAAATAAAGTTTGACTTTACTCACATATCACTGATGAAGTCAATCTGTAATAAAACATGCCTTCCCGTGATTCTGCAACATTTTCTATTACAAAGAAACGTACTTGCTGTTTTCACTGTTATACTCAGTGCTTCCTCTCTCAATTTATGCAATTTTGTATTGTAGACCATGGATTCATGGCTTGCTTATGCACCTGTGAAGAACAACCCGGAAGATGCTGCTAAGGTACAACTAGAATGCATAGAGCATTGGCCTGTAAAGAATGCACATGGGCTTAGGGTGCTCTATGAAAACTTGCAAAAGAAAACGATGAATTTTTTGAATGTGGGCAGCCCTGTCTTGAGTGCTTGATTTCAAAATTTATCCCTATTAAAGGCGTAGATTCAAAAGATTTCATCGAACATTTAGGTGATGCTGATTTGATTTTAAATGCTTTGGATATGAGAAAAGGTTGAGCAATATTAAAACAAATCCCTCCGCATATATTACTAAAACGTTCAGGAAAAATATTTTAATATTATTTTTGTTATTTTAACTGAAGGTACCAAAAGGAAATCCATATCATAGTGCAACTTCTGGGGAAATGGCCATTTATCGATCAAACAGCCTCATTCTAAAAAAGGTAATGTATATTATTATTACTAGTCATGATTGCTTGGATGCGATATGGTTAATAATCTTCTCCATGCTAAGAACTGGAAGGTTAAAAAGGCTGTATGCCCCTTAGTTCCATCAACAAATCAATGTGATCTTACTGCTAAAGATTCCAGTTTCTAAACAAAGCGCCTAGAGATCTGCATTATTACAGTACCCCCAATCATAACACCTTGTGATTTTAACCAAAAACTGTTCTTCCATTTCTTTCGATCAGTCAGTTGTATGAATTCCTTTGTCTTCCATCCTCGTTCTTTCTCTGAGAGTCAGCCAAAAGTCACCAAAGTATTATCAACCGAATATTAGTAGATCTCTTTTTCTCAGCAAAGGCATGCATATTCTTTCACACAGATAAGAGAAACTGATGACGGATTGGACTTGATATTTAATTGGAAGAATTGCTATAGAGTCCCAAAAAAGGGACATAATTAATAGGAAGTCCCATTGACAGCAGAGCAATCAATAATGACAAGTTCCGATGTAAGAAATGATAACTTCTCACTTGTCATTAAGACTTTTGTTTGTTACTCCCTCCGTTCCTTATTATAAGAGACATTTGATGCTTATGGCATGTTCCTATATATAAGAGACACTTAAAAGTTGTCTATACTTTTTTGTGTTGATTTCCTATTTTACCCATATTTATTGTCTCCAACTCACACTCTCTCTCCATCCTACTTCTCTTTCTTTTAATAATTTAATTATTCTATCTCATGCTCTCTCTCCTTATTAATGAGGGCATTTTTGGAAAAAAATTATATTTTTTACACATTGATTGTTCTTAACTAATTTTAACTACTTTTTTTATCAACGTAATTCGGTTATTTGTCTCTTGTAATAAGGAACGGAGGGAGTATTTCTTTCCTTGGACCTCGTAATATTTTTTCCATTTAAAATTTTGGAAAATGGTGTGATCTATATTTTCATCTTGCATGGGCAACATTGGCGGATGGATGTGATACTTTCCTCTTTAATTTCCTTTTATCTATATGGGATTAAACTTTAGAGAATGTGTTAGTTTTAAAATATATTAACTGATTGAGGGTGTAATATTTTATATGAACGTAACTATTTCCTTGGACTTCTGGGAGCAGTGTGGCATTGTCGCTCACAACGTTGCTCAATTGATGGTGTATTTGTTTGTGGCAGGCAAGCATTACTGCCTAAATGCCAGTGAACTCAATTCCAAAGTTCCAAGTTCTGATCAATTTTCCCTGCAAACTTATTTCTACCAGGCTGGTGTCGAAGTAGCAGGTCCAGAATTGCAGGTTATTAGTGGGCAAGAGGTGGAAGTGTGGCCTCGTATCACATGGAAACCAAAATGGGGTCTGACCTTCTCTCAAATTAAGAAGAGAGTTAGTGGAAGTTGCTCCATTTCTCAAAGGTCTACACTGGTCATTAAGGGTAAAAAAGTCAACCTAAAGAACCTGTCCTTGGATGGGGCTCTTGTCGTTGATGCTGTTGACGATGCAGAGGTATGGCTAGTCAATGTGGCTGTATTTTATGTTATTGAAAGTTTTTCCAAGATACCATAGCGGCTGCTTCTAAAGAATATTTGCTCTAAGTTCAAAAATATGAATGCAGATGCTACGATCATCTTGTGCTTGATTGAGTGTAAGTAATTGAGGTGGTTTATTATTCATCTTCTTATAGGTGGACGTGGTTGGTTCTGTCAAAAACAAAGGGTGGACCCTCGAAACTGTGGACTACAAAAATACCGCGGAGCCCGAGGTAGAAAGGATTAGGGGTTTTAAATTCAACAAAATTGAACAACTGGAGGGGAAATATTCTGAGCCGGGTCAATTTACCTTGAAGTATTAAAGTTACATTTCATTCATGCATCATTCCTTATTCTTTCTCCTACTGCGTCGCAACTTTTCTTCACGGGCTGAGTGCGTAACATGCTCTAAGCAGAGATATATGAGAAGTTTTTTGAGATTTGAAATTTTGTATTCATTATACGGGAGTTCCTGACTCTTTCTCTTTGCATCGGTTGAGGAGAAATGACAATTGTATGCTTCATGTTCAAAGTTTAGCTTCAAGTGGAATAAAAGGATTTTGGGCTTATTTGGAACAGTTTTATAAGTACTCTTCCAGTCCTAAATATAAGACCTTATATAGTGTATATAAGGATCTTATATTTAAAACCAGAAGAGTAGCTTATAAATAGCTTTTTAATAGCAATTTACAGAATACAAGATAAGTATGTGAAAAGAGTTTTATCTCGGTTTACGTAAAATGTGTTTATAGGAGATTTTTTAAGCTCTCCCAAACAGGTCCTTCGCTGATTGTTTGACTGGCTATATATCAAATTGATCTACACTAGTCAGTTCATGTATCTTCGTTTGTGTAACATAAATGGTGGGCTTTTATTATGCATTCAAATGTTTAAAACTGAGGAGCAGAAAATTCACCGGCGAGATGAAAGAAAGTAATGAGCGATGGAATTTATTTTCAAAAAAAAAAACCCCTGACGGAAATAAAATGAGGTCTCAATTTCAGAGCCTCTCGTCTTGACACGTGTTCCTCATGATAAGACCAAAGGAACTCACCACCACTAAACTAAATTAAACTGATGACTTAACTGAACACTTGCTTGAAATCCTTGCATTACATCATTATTACAAAAGCACGCACACGGACACACTACTCTTATCCATAGCTGGAGGAACTCACCACCACTAAACAAAGCTGAATTTAAACTCTCTTGCTCTGCGATGCTACGATAGCATCTAGCCATGGCCACAAGTTTCTCCAGCGCGCTTTCAACCAAATTACCCATGATGGGTTTCACTGGTAGCAGAAGAGACTCGAGGAACCGGAAAGCATTTTCCATTTCGGCTCAACAGCAAGCAGAAGTTGAGAAGGAAGTGGAAGTACAGCAAGAGCAAGCACAAGTAGGCAGTGGAACTCAGAATATGAACCCCAAAGGAGTGAAACCAAGGCCTGTGGAACCACAAAGGAACGTGAAGAGCAAAAACATGAGTAGGGAATACGGAGGACAATGGCTTAGCTGCGCTACCCGCCATGTGAGAATCTATGCCGCATATATCGACCCTGTCACTTGGGAGTTTGATCAGACCCAGATGGATAAGCTCACTCTTATCCTTGATCCCACCGATGAGTTTGTGTGGAATCCCGATACTTGCAACAAGGTTTTCTCTTACTTCCAGGAGCTTGTCGATCATTACGAGGTAGTTGTTCCCATCTTCTCGTAATTAAACCTCTTACCATCGATTCCATATTCTTTGTGTGGCTTTTGGTGAGGTTTGTTGCCTGCGAGTTTGTTCTTTTATAATTTCGACAATTCTTTATTTGGTCAGCAACAACGTTCTTTAGTTTTAAATCATAATGAAGTCAGTAGTTCTGGACTGGTAGTCGTATTAATAAATATTTTTGAGGCGCGTGATGTACCGTGACTAAGCATTGAGACGAATTGAATGAGCAGGGTGCTCCCTTGACGGAATACACGCTTCGCCTGATTGGTTCAGACATAGAGCACTACATAAGGAAACTACTGTACGATGGGGAAATCAAGTACAACATGAACGCAAAGGTGCTTAATTTCAGCATGGGCAAGCCTCGCATTATGTTCAATAATAATGATCTTCCACCTCAGGAGGCACTTGAGTAATCGCTTGCATAATCCTCCAGTTTCGGGGGCGACAATCTTGTGGAACCCACTCCACTGCGAAGTGCAGCTCTGATTCCCAGGAGCATGATCTGGCCGCTTACTTGTTACTTCATGATTCATTTGTTTTGTATCTGTATTCTGATTTTTCCCTTTTATAAATAGAATTGAAATGATCACGATTTGGTCGACAACTTTGATCCTCTTCTGTAAATATTGTATGCATTCGCAGTGGCTGCTAAATTTTTACATGATTAACCAATTGGAGGTGAAGCAGGGTATATTAATACTGCACTTACATTCATATTATAGTAGGCTAGTCTCGTTTCCATATGCTTCTATTGGGCGGCTTCTTCAATTGAACGGAAGTAGAGCCTATCCGGAAGAACGAAAAATATCAGGAGCCGTCAAAAAATTCTCCTGAAATAGTTTGGAATCGCACCATTTCCAGATCTGACAAGCTCTATGAACTAACGTGAGGCTCCACGGCTTCAGTGCTGCAACCCAATGTGGTTTTTAGATCATTACGAAACCAGTGTTCTCACGATTGAGTGTTTGAGAATAATACAATCCCCTCGAAGCCTGCAACGAGTCTTGCCCAACCCTTGGCGTATCCCTTGCTGTTCAGGCTGTGTCCATTTGCTTCTTCTATAATTATTAATTGGTGAGTAGATTGCCGTGAAACCTGAGACGTGGAAAAGCTCTGATTCGCCCAGCACAATGAAGTCCCCAGGGGTTAGAAACAGCTTGATTCATTACTCCTATTCTAAAAGTATGTTTGGATGAAATCAAACTATGATTTGAAGAATAGCTTCTGGAGAATAAATTCTGGAAAAAATAGATTTTGTGAAGAATAGATTTTGTGAAAAAATGATTCTAATAAATGAGAGTGTTTGGATAGTTGTTATCAGAAGAACTTTTTATATGTACAAATTTTACTAAAAAATATATAAGTTAATATGATAATTACATAAAAGATAGATTTTATAATATATTTTAATTTGAAAAAATAAAATTGTTAATAATATTTTTTTTTGCCAACATAATTAATAATATATAAAATAATATAATTAATATGTATATATATTTATAAAATATAAGATTAAATATGTTTATAAAAAAAATAATTGAGGAATGTTAAAATCATATTATTGTTGAGATCTACTCTACAAGTACAATCATACTCTCCCATTTGAGCTAGAAGCAGAATGAATTCACTTCTTCTGAAACCATGGTTTTGAGCTCCAAACCATGGTTTTGATCCAAAACCATGGTTTCTGTTTTTTCCTAGGTGTTTGGCAAGTCTGAGACCCAAACCATGGTTTGGATCCCAAAACCATGGTTTATGTGTTATCCAAACAGGGCCTGAATATAAAATAGAATACCCATTTTACACTATAAAATGAGAAGAAGTATTAATTAATTAATTGATCAAAACTTAAACTTGGGGTCTGTTTGGGTATCTCAAAACCGTGGTTTCAGAAGCACTTTTTCGCAAAACGAGATAATCTCCTCCACATATTTATTTCGTAATCCGTAAAAGCACTTCTGAAACCATAGTTTGGTTTCTATCCAAACACATCCTTGAACCTTTTTACCGTGAAATTTGAAACCCTCTCCATTCATAACCGCCTCGCTTATGTCGCCAGTCCAAATAAAAGGTTGATATAAATTTGTCTGATTTTAAGCTCTCAAATTTTAAATTAGAGGTTTTTGTTTTTCAAATTTCTTTTGATTTAAAACATATAATTCAATAAAAACTCAGATCATTTTATTATTTGAGAGACCAATACTCATAATTTAAAACTTAAAAAACCAAAATCAAAATGAGATGAGGATAAATTTAATGAACAATAATACTCTTTCGGTCCTTAATATAAAACTCAATTCTTAAGTTGGTTTTGGTTATAAATATAAGATTCATTTTTCATATTTATCAATTTTCTCTAAATTATCCCTATAGATACTCCCTCAACTATAATCAAGTAGAAGAGGGAGAGAAGGTATTAAGAAAAATGATTATGGTGTTTTGGGAAAAATGTGTCACTTTTCTTATAATTAACTAACTTACCTAACTTCCTTAATCTAATCAAACTATTTAAATGGGTCTTATATTAAGGATCGGAGGAGTATTATATTAACCCTAAATAAAGTAAAAGCAATGATCGAGAGACACGTGTTAGAATGATATGAGGGATGGAGCCACACGCAGGGAACACGTATTTGAATGCTTTTGGAAGTCTTTCGCCGAAGTACTCACGCCGCCGTCCCAAAACAAATTGAGAATCGTCCTGAAAGTGACTTTAAGCTAACCAAAACAAATTCAAGCAGAGATTGCAATCTCATGCTGTGCGAAACTCCCCCACTCAATTTTATTGTGCTTGGATATGCTGCCTCGGTGCTTGCCTAAAATCTTTAACTGTATCAAACCTAGAATCATTAATTTATGAAGAGTCCATAGTCCATACCTATCATGCCGGTCTTTTTTAAATTAAAAAAAAAAACAAAGAAATCCTAGATTATATGGGAACAAATTGTTCAAATTGTAATTTAATAGTGGTAATTTGTCATTAAAAAAAAGGTGATTAGCATCAGTAATCTGAAATAGACGTGATCCTTGAGTCCAAAAAAAAAAGAAGTAGACGTGATCCCGGGGGTAAGTGGAAGGTTGAATTGAACATGAAGAAGGAAATGGGCAAATTGGAAGAAAGCAGGATGCGAAACTTCACGCAAGCTGCGTTGAAAGGGAACGTGGCCATTGTCGTCCACACGCTTCAGGGAATAATGGTCCCGACGCTCATTGTTCGTTTTCTATTCCTCACATCATATTCCGGCACCGCTCGCTGTACCTTTCCCGTACACAACACTATCACAATTCTTAATTAATTAAATTCCTCCCCCCAGACACGTGTTGTGTTCCTACGCACTCAATTTTTTATATTTCTCTATTTTTAAATTATCAATTTTTTTACCAGAATTAACTTTATTTTAATAATATGTGGAAGATATCTAGTCCGCATGCACCTCTGCAGCAAGTGGCCGCATATATATATATATGGCGCTCTTTCTCTCAGCAAGTGGCTTGAAGTTGTGTATGCAGTATCATCATAAGCCTCTTTCCTCAGCATATAATAATAAGCTTGTGGTTGCGTCAACCCCAAAGGGCGCCGAAACCGGCGACTCTGTGTAGTATCGTGTCGTATCAAAAATTTTGCAAGTGAATATGTCTCCCCTTACATCCCGTGACTTGCAGCGAATTTTTGAGAAGCTGGACATGAACGAGGATGGGTTGGTGAGCCTTGAAGAGCTGAAATGGCTGCTGGACAAGATAGGTTATTATGAGTTTAGCCCCGACGAGCTTGAATCCTTCGTCGGCAAAAAGAACCTGGACTTGAACGGGTTCTTGTTCTTCTGGGAGTCCATATCGAAGCAGAACGATGATAACAGAGGGCCGGGGGATGACGTGGAGAGTGACCTGGCGGAGGCCTTCAAGGTGTTTGACTTGGACGGAGATGGGTTCATCACCAGCCCAGAACTGGAGTGCGTGTTGAAGAAGCTCCACTTATGGGACGACCACTATGGCAGGGACTGCTCCGCCATGATTTGCGCCTACGACACCAACTCAGATGGTCGCCTTGATTTCCAGGAGTTCAAGAACATGATGCTCCTTGCCTCTTCTTCTTGATCCTTTCTCAAGAACATGAAGCTCCCCGCCTCTTCTTCTTGATCCTTTCTTATTGCTTGTCGTACTCCATGTTCTTCTCACACTCTAAGCTAAGGCAGCCTGCTTGATGGTTTTATTGATTTTTAATATGAAAGCCAAAGACGTACTAAATCTGTCATAATCTCTGTGTGTGTGTGTGTGTCTGCAGCTGGACACTTTTTGCTTTACATGATTGTTCATAGATGTATTTGCTAGCCATTATCGTTAGTTAAAGATTGAATTTCAAAAACATATGATAGACATGGCACCCGATTTGAAATAGCATCACCACTTCAGCAAATTTATAAACGGATTGTTAAAGCAAACAAGATGCTGTTCAATATTTTAATGTATTGTTACTGCGATGCTCTGTTTTAGTGTCACTCAATTAACTAAGACACAACTATAGAAATCAGATATGACAGTAGGCAGGAGCCTTGATCATGAATACTGTTATGCATTGGGTAAATTAAGATTATTAACCAACTAAAATCTATCTTCCATTCTCCCCTTGCTTTGACGTTATATTTCAAACTTCTAGAGTCTTCCCATGCATTGCTTAGATAGAGACGGGTAGAAAGATTTGTAATATTCGTGGAGAAAAATCTCCCGGCCCGTTGTATCCAGAAAAATCTAGTATGAGCCCGTTGTATCCCGAAAAATCTAGTTTGACTTTAATATATCGGAGAAGTCGCGATGGGCACTTAATTACAAGGGCTGGTTGACATTTCTGTTAAGATATTTTTGGCATCCTAAATTATCAGGCCGTGCAATTTAGGAAACCAGTTTTGGTAATTATCATCTTGATGAGCATCATAAGTTTATCGGATCTGAACTATTTATATCTAACTTAAATGGTTAAGATTTAAAATTTTTAATTAATTATTTTTAAATAAATAATTACTTTTTGAAAAAAAATAATTAAGATATTATTTTGATTTTAGATCCTATCTATATTGAAATAATTATTTTGAATAAATAAAAATAAAAAAACAAATTTGGATCAACCAAACTGAATTATGAATGATTCAAATCAGATGAGTTTAATGTGCTTATCAAAACGATAAATACCGAAACTGATTTTGTGTAATTTGAAACGTTAAATATTACCATGTAAACTTCTCAACCATTAGTTGATTACGGAAAAAATTATAACTGAAAAATTACAAAAAAAATACTATAAGAAAATTAATATAAATTAAATTTCAAAAATCAAATATCGATGTCAATGTGGCTAAAACACCAAAATGCCATTTTGACCAACCGATCAATATACTGTAACTAGCATAGCAATGATGATTTGATGATGATCACCCAATAAATAACAGATCAAGTGGTTGGTTAAAACAGTATTTTGAGTTTGTACATAAGTATAACATGATATCGGTGCAGTTATTTGTAATTTTTGGACTCAATTAGTATTATTTTTTTATAAGATACTTACTTACAATTTTCTAGAATCTTTTCCTAATTTTCAGGTCAACTAACTATTGTTTTTTTAGACAGCGGCAACATTCCAACATTTCTAATGTTTCAGGAGCGACATTGCATCGGTTAATAATTTAGGATACTTAGTGTGCTCTAAAAAAACAGTTTAAGGGCAAAACACTATGCCAGTGTAAATAAAATTCAGAGTTATGGGGAAAAGGTCTAGCATGTTCGAATGTGAAAATTGTGGAGGAGCAAAGCTGGGGAAGGAAGTAGACTGGTGATGCCGAAAGCGATGGGGAATCACATCACCATAAATTAATGTCACTGTGAGTTTTATTTTCTAGAAAAAATAATGATTGAGTAATTTGCTTTTATGAACAGTGGGCGGCGGGGTGCTGACCGCGGCAAACGTGATCGGGGAGCTGATGATAGAAGAAACACGCATCCGATTGGAACGAGTCCGCCTCCCCTGCTCACAGGATCGATGAGCACGCATAGCGTACTTGTGAAAACGCACCGTTTGGATTAGCGAAACATCTCAACGGTCCATCTGAAAAATCCAAAGCATCGACAGGCTGACAAGTGGACGGAGGGTGTTTGGCTCATCACAATTTCCCGACGAAAAGGAAATGGCAAGAACAAAGAAGCACAGGAGCAAGGATGGACGGGAGAAACCAAGAAAGAATCGAGGAAGGAGATGACAGAGAATACCTATTTATGATTATGAAGAATGATGACATGTCGATTCTGTTCCTTCTTCATGCATAGCTAACTAATTATGGACGGAACTACGCCTGGTTGAGGAGGAAGCTAGCTGCGGATGAAAATGCAACCTTTACGAACTACGCCCTTTAGTCCCTTCATGATCTGATAGATTAATGGCGATACCATTCCTAGATTAATGGCGATACCATTCCCTCTTATTCTCCGATGATCAGTAGAGTTCAATTAATCTGTCCTGCTCATGCTTCTGCGTCCTTTGATCCTCCTATAAGATAACTAGTTATGGACGGGACGGGACGGTAGATCACAGACAAATCTGCACTTGGAAACGGGTTGCCGGAGGAAATTGAAAACACGAGTCACTCCATGAAATCGTCACTGAATCTTCAAGCATCTTCTCTATTTAGGAAGTTCAGTTTGTCTCTTCTTTCTTTGCTTTTTTCTTCCCCACCCTTTTAACCTCGCTTCTTCGGAACAAGGACATAATCCACGCTGCATTGGGCTGATATGGACATCCTCCAATCGGCGACGGTTCTCTGTTTCGCCTCGCAACAGAAACCAATGACCACGGTCCAAGTGAGACGACCTCGTAATCTCCGGTGCTGCGGCGGTCCTTTTGTGGCGCCCAGAGGTCTGACCCGCCAATTGTTCGATGAAATACCTATTTGGGACACATTCGCTTGGAATAATCTTATTCAAACCCATCTCTCAAATGGAGATTTCGACAGTGTATTATCAACTTACGATCAAATGCTACTCCGCGGAGTTCATCCTGATAGACATACTCTTCCTCGCGTGGTTGCTGCTACTCGTCTATTGGGCGATTTATCCATTGGTAGGCAGGTTCATGGGCAAGCTCTGAAACTCGGATTCTCCTCTGACCAGTACGCTATTACCGCTTTGATTGAGATGTATGGGCATCTAGATAGCGTGGAAATGGCTAAGTTGATCTTCGACAAGTCTCCCCACCGGAATTTAGTGTCTTGGACGCTACTTGCTAGATTATACATTGATCAGGGAAAACCAAGTTCGACCCTTGATTTATTCCATCAGATGGTGGACCTCGGGGTGCCTATTGATCCAGTTGCCTTAGCAACAGCAACCAGTGCCTGTGGATTGCTAAAATCTCTGCAAAAAGGAAAACTTTTACACGAGATTGCCAAGAAGTTTGGGTTAGAGTTTGATGTTTTGGTAAGTAATTCGCTCGTGAAAATGTATATAGATTGCGGCAGTTTAAAAGATGCTCGGTTGATGTTTGATCAGATGACTTTCAAGGATGTTATATCATGGACTTTAGTGATTCGTTCGTATGTGAGGATAGGAGAATTCAACGAAGGTCTCAAATTATTTCGACGGATGAACTGGAATGGTTTGAAGCCTGATTCGCTTTCAGTCGCCAGCATTCTCCCGGCTTGTGGTAGAATCGCTTCCCATAAACACGGTAAAGAAATTCATGGCTATCTGCTTAGGAGCGGCATTCAATTAAACCTGAAGCTCAAGAATGCACTTATGGACATGTATGTGAAATCAGGAGCTATCGCATGTGCTTCGAATATTTTCGCTGAACTGAATGAAAAAGATGTGATTACATGGACCGTGATGATATTGGGCTATAGCCTACACGGTCAAGGAAAGCTTGGAGTTGATGTTTTCTGCCGGATGGAGAAAAATTCAAAGGCACACTTAGATAAAACCACCTATGCTGCTGTCCTTCATGCATGTAGCACCGCACGCTTGGTTGAGGAAGGCAAGTTTTACTTCAACCGCGTAAGGTCACCCACAGTGGCTCACTATGCTTTAATGGTTGCTCTGCTAGCCCGAGCTGGGCTTTTTAATGAGGCGATGGCCTTTATTAAGGAACACAATATTGGAAAGCATGCTGAGGTGCAGAGAAAATTGCTAGAAGGGTGCCGGATTCACCGACAACATACTCTAGGGAAGCGAGTGGTTGAGCAACTTTGTGATTTGGAACCTCTAAATGCTGATAATTACGTGCTACTTCTGAATTGGTATGCTGGGAATGCAAAGTGGCACATGGTAGATAAATTAAGGGAAACGATCAGAGATATGGGTTTGAAACCCAGAAAAGCCTATTCTTGGATCGTGTTCAGGAATAAAGTTCATGTCTTTGGAACGGGGGATGTATCGCACCCCAGATCAGCGGGAATATACTCGGAATTACAGCGTTTCGTGGAGGAGATGAGTATCCAAGGAATTGAGCCCGCTTGGGATTTCAACCTCCATGACGTCGATGAAGAGCGGGAGTGCATTCCGATTGGACACAGCGAACTATTGGCAATTTCCTTTGGACTTGTCAGTTCACGAGCAGGACCCATACGTGTTACCAAAAACCTCACGGTATGCCATGGGTGCCACGATTTTGCCAAGTTCGTTTCCAAGACCACCGGAAGAGAAATCATTCTCAAGGACCCAAACCTTTTTCATCATTTTAGGGACGGATTCTGTTCGTGTGGGGACCTTTGGTAAACAATATTTTAAGCGTAATTGCTCGACCAAAATTTTCTCTTCGCTTGACATTTTTATGATTCATGCTACTTTTACTTATTCGATAATTTTAAAAAAAAAATGACTTTTGTTATTTTTCTCAAAAATTTAGGAGAAATTTATCATAGCAAGGCAATCTTTAAAACTTTTTTCCGCATTCAGTTTTATGTTGGCGCAAAACAAGTCAATCATAAGTCACTATTAAAATGATATCCTTTTTAAAATAATCTTTTTTAAAAATCAAATTCGCTGAATCTTTCCTTTCTGTTGGTAATGAAAAATTTTGAAGCTTGGTTGATTTGTGAATTTATCAAATATCAATCGAACAAGACATTAATTCATCATTAAGCTAATACTGTTCAGCAGCTGCAAATTTTCCAATGCGATCTCTTCCATGAAGGCGTATGAATACGCAATGCAAGAAAAATCCAAACATCTGGGTTTATTAAGCACAGTGCTTAACTGCATCAGTTTTAGACTCAAAATTGTTTTATTTTACCGCGAACTAACGGCAGCTGGGATTGACATTACTAATTTATTTCCGGAAAAATTACAATAAAGTCCCAGGTAAGAAAAACAATTAAGAAACAAATCTCAGAGGTTATCATTCTCACTATAGGACTTGTTATTATAAACTTTTAAGGTTGTTATTCGGATCTTTCGGTAATTATTTCTCTTCTATTAGATTTAATTGTAATTTCCCCTTTACTTTCTTCCATTTACTACAGGATTACAGGCGGGAAAAGGGAAAGGAAAGGGTTAAACTAAACCAATCAACAATCATACTACAAATTAAGCACAAACTCCTCGTGTGATGCAGTCATTCCTGTGCTCATATTAAGCTCTAAAGATTATATACTTCTTCAATCCTAAATATAGGACCCTTTTCATAGTATAAATTACACTACGATTTTACACTATAAAAAGGGTCTTATATTTAGAACCGGAAGAGTATTAGCTATTGGAATTACCGACACAAAATTCGACCCTGAAAGGAGTTCTTCTTATAGAATTTTTATTTTATCCAGATTTCAAAGGAACTTCTGGTACTGAGGGTTGTGTACGGGTCGCGACGGGGAAAAACAATCAAAGGTTGAATATCCATAACGAAGTCGGGTCATCCGCAGGCAGGAAAATGACCCGACCCAAATCGGCAGCCAAAATCTTGCGTATTTTATTATGGATCATAAAAAAATTACAAAGAAAGCAAATGACCAGCGAAAGACGAAGGACGCTCCTGTTTCAAAAATTGGATGACTCGGATAAGACCCTTGCAGAGAACCAAGTCCACCCGCGCTCGCAAACTCAGATTTACTGGGATTTCGATTGCTAGGGCTTCAACTTCCGTAGCTGTAAGCCATGTTTTTCTCTAAGCTAATCACTGTGTTTGTATTTTCGTCTCGGTAGTTTTCTCTTTGGTTTCTGACAAACCGTTGGATGTGGAGAAGGGAACGTTTTGGAGTGTTTAGTGTTCTGTAAATTTAGTAAGTTTTGTCTCTGCGAAATATTGTGGCGCAGTGACGGTGTTGGCTCTGTTCAATTCTTCCCCCCCTTGAATTGCAAGTAACATTTCGCTTAGAGCTTTAAGCTGCATTTTTTGTCATCTTTTTGGTTTCTTGTGTTCTTACGGAACTCAGCGGCCTGTCTTAACTTCTAGTCCCTTACCTCTGCTTATTTGAGTTTTTCGTGCTATCACGTTGTAAAGATGTTGAGTAATAAATCTCGAGAGATTCGGATCTTTGAAGGCTTTGTTCGTTGTGAACCCTAATTTCTTGCTGCAAAGGTAAAGGAGTTGGGTTCTTTCGCGGTGGAAGGATGGAAACTGAGGATGGAACAAGCAACGGGGACAACACAGAATGTTCTGAAGCAGTTCAGTGCCTGAAGAGTGAAGCTGTAAATAATGGGGTTGCAGATAGCAATGATATTAAGAAAGGGATTCAGCGCTTTAATTGTGAAGCTGTGAATAATGGGGTGGTTATTGCAGACAGGAATGGTGCTGCTCAAGGGGACTGTGGCGTAGTTGAAAGCTTTCGAACTTACAAGAGACGTAAGCATGTAAAGTTGAATTCAGAAAGGAAAGCTCAAGAAGTTTGCAGAACATACTCAGAAGCTGCAAGTCACATAGCTGGCCAGGTTTTATTCCCCTGCTTTTCCAACTACATTGCATCGCTTAATGCCAATCTTTCTTAATCATTATTTTGGATAACGATGTGTTATCTTTTTGCATCTTGAGGAATAGTTGGAGATGTAACCTGCAAAACTTTTTATGTGATTTGGGGAGTCACACATTAACCTTGAACGATGATCCTTAGAATATGAAAATTAAGAGATATTAAACTTGCATTGATGTTAATGCTTTATCGGAAGAAGATAAAATGCTATTGACATGTCCATGTGTGTGTGCTTTTGTGTGTTGCTCTTAATTTTTAATGCTCTATGGAGTCACTTTTTATATTCGAAGTCAATATTATACTTAATTCATGTCTTGGAAACCGTAGGTTACTATTTAGCATTGTGATTTAAGGACATAAAGTTGCTGAGAACAGGCAAACATGAAAGGATCCTGATTCCGGATCATTTATTTGCTATCACTGGTCTTTGTAAAGGATAAACCCCACATGCGCTACTCTTCAGATAAAATTCATTCTGTGCATAAATAAGTTAGTTCATCTAAGGATTTTAGTTCATCGAAGGATCTGTGTACTTAGGTGTTCAAGCACCAGGAAAAAAGGATATACTAGATTTCTGAATCCAATCAGTGGAAGTCATTCATTGTAATTTTGACAGCAAGAGAATAAACTTCATTTGCATTGGGCATGGCTAAGATCTGATCTTTCTGCATAAGTAGTGTTGCAACAAACATTTATTCTACGTTCTTATGGAGTTGAGGTGTGATGATACTTAAAACACTGAGACAGTGGTCTACTTGGATACATTGATAATGGATTATGCTGAAACTTCCATGAGAGGGGGCTAATTTGCCTGGTTCAGTTCAGGCATGCCATGATTGTGGATGGTATTATTGCCAGTTGCATAACATCCTCTTTAATATGAAAAAGGTGCTATTGTTTTGTTAATTAAAATATTATACTTGAGATGATTTCGCCCATGGCACACAATCAACTCGAATCATTAGATATACAAATCTGTTGGTTCTTTCTGCAAAGCGGTGATTGGACTTTTCTTACTGCAGGCTGTAAAGAAACCATGTAATGTAGCCATAGGAAATACTTCGGATAAGCATTCACATGCACATTGGGGAAATGTTGTACTAATGCAGTTGTATCAGTCATTAGGCAATGATAAAGGTGGCATAGAAGAGTGCATGAGGGAAGCTCTCATGCGCTATGCTAAAATTAGTTGTGCCACTACCTTAAAGGTTTGGTTCTACAACAAGAACTGCATATATCCTGGGCTTTTATGACTCCCTTCTTAATGCATTATTCTATGTTGCATCTCATTTTGTTTCAGGAAACTTGTAGAATTGACAAAGTTGGACAAGATTACTCTCCACACTTAGAACTGACATCTCATAGATTACGGAAGAATCTTAATGGGCACGCAAATGTCTTTCGCAATGGATCTTGTAACGAGTCGGACGCTCCTGATGCAAATGAGATGTGCCAGCGTGTACTATGTAATGTCTTAGTCTCTGAGAAATTCAGTTCGTTATGTAAGGTGCTACTAGAAAATTTCAAAGGAATGAAGCCTGAAACTGTATTTGACTTCAGTGTCATAAACTCAAGGTTGAAAGAGCAAGCTTATGAACAGTCGCCCACACTTTTTTCGTCAGATATTCAACAGGTAATATTCTGCATTTGTAATTTCATCAACTTCTCTGTTTTATGTGACACCTTCTCTGTTTTTCTTCTCGGTTTGTGTTCCTTGCTTCTGTAATTGGGCTATGTATTGTATTGTTATTGTCTCCCTTCTTGTTTTGAAATTTCCATTTTATAGTCTGTTCATTTATTTTATCCAATTCATGATCTCCTCTATTGAGTAATTCTCCGCTGTATCACTGTTTACCCCCTCTGATTGACTTGTGTGTCATAAATTCATATTTGCCATGCCTATTTTTCTTTAGTTTTTGGCTCTTATTCTTGGAAAAGATGAATTATGTATGCCAGTATACCCTCAAAGTTATGATGTCAGACAGTTTATTGTGAATAACTGCCAGATCAATAACTCTACTTTGTAACACTTTTAGTAGCTTTTTCTTTTTAGTTACTTTATTCTTACTGTTGAACTTTGTGAAATTCCCAAACTAAAGCCGTCTATACTTTTCTTTTTTCTTTCCACTACTAGGATCTCAGAATGGACAGAAGTACTATCTTCATCCGTTAAGGTTGGGATGAGTTCCTACTTAGTAATTGAGGGATACAAATTGAAAGTTAGATGTGAAGTGCGTGGGCAGTAAGATATTTTTAATTTTCTTACAAATGACATTAGAAATGTTTTAAAAGCCAAATTAAAGCCTTTTTTTTTTTTGGGGGGGTGGGGAAAGGCTGTTACCTACCGGCTTACTCTATGTAAATAGAAAATGTTGGTGAAGTCGACAGTCATCTTAGGTGGCTTCTGTCCAGCCAAAAGTGAGGGTTACAACATGCTGCCTTTCTCCCCTTCTCTGCACTTTCACTGTTTATCTGTAGTATTGCCCATCATGGTCACCATCCGAGGAATAAAGCCTCAGTTTCAGAGGATTCCATCCTGATCTGGTTAAATAGGATGACCTCGTGTGGACAATGGCAGCTCCATTGCTTAGGTTTTTCTGTGAGATGATAACCTTAAAATCTGAAAGGAGAAGCAAAGCATTATTCTTGAAATAATGTTAATTTGATGGGGGAAAAAAAAACCTTTGCCCCCCTCCATCTTTGAGCACTGGCTAAAACATAAGAGAAAAACTAGTGTGCGTGTGTGTGTGTGTGTTTTTCCTAAAATTTGTTTGGCATGCTCAATGGCTCCACCGCAGAGTAAAGCTAAGTAGATAGCTTCTTAATAGT